TCTCCGACCTCCTCTTTGTCTATCTTTCCACTCACTTTTCCCGGTATCCCTCTTCAGCTCCTCTCACACTTCCCCTACTCCTTTGGTCCTTTCTCACGTCTCTCCACCTTATTTCGGCTAATCCTGCTCCCCTCCCTTCTCTCCTCACATTTTCTCTTTTTCTATTCAAGCTGTTTTCCCTTTTCTCTGCTCCTTTTTACATCTCCCCCCGCTCCCCCCTCTCCCTATCTCCCGACCTCACCCTGTGCCGGGTCAACAGCAGCCCGCGGCGGCATCATGGCCGGCGGCGCCGCCCTGGGCCCCAGCGGCGGCGCCGGCTGGTAGCCGCCGTAGCCGCCTCGCGCAGGCGAGGGCGGGGGATACTGGCCGCCGCTTCCTCCGCCGGGCGCTCCCAGACCGCGCAGCTGGTTCGGGTTCCCCACCCTCTGGCCGCCGCTCTTCTTGATGCTGAGGAGAGAGGGAGCGGACGGTCACCTGTCGCTCACCACTCACGAGTTCAAGCTCGCAGTACACTTAGGACGTCACTGCTGTCAACCCAAGGATCTGCCGTCCTACGTCCACTCTGCACCCCCACAGGCCCAATGACTTCGTCGTCAACGGATATATATATATATATATATATATATATATATATATATATATATATATATATATATTGGTAAGGAGAACATAAATAAAGCATAACTAATTGAAGTAAGACAGAATCCCATTTTCATTTTCATACATGCAGGAAACACTCATAATGGGAACACCACAAAGACCCAATGAGAACATTATTGCCAAAATCACATCAGTAGTGCTCACCGCCCGCCACCTAATAGTGCAAGAGTTGTGCAAGAATTTCTCTGTCTGTTTAGGGCCGGAGAGAGTTCGTTAATGAATATGGTTTCCCAACCTTGAAGGCGTCCTCTGTCATTGCACGTCCGTAAAATGTCAGTGCTGTCTGTCAGTTGTTGTGTCAATGTCATGTCGTGTTCGTGTCGCACGTGGTCCAGAGGTGCTCCGTCACGTAAGCGCATTGTCAGGCGTCGTGAGAGTGTCGTTGTGACAGAAGGTAGACATATATATATATATATATATATATATATATATATATATATATATATATGTGTGTGTGTGTGTGTGTGTGTGTGTGTGTGTGTGTGTGTGTGTGTGTGTGTGTGTGTGTGTGTGTGTGTGTGTGTGTGGTGTGTGTGTGTGTGTGTGTGTGTGTGTGTGTGTGTGTGTGTGTGTGTGTGTGTGTGTGTGTGTGTGTGTGTGTGTGTGTGTGTGTGTGTGTGTGTGTGTGTGTGTGTGTGTGTGTGTGTGTGTGTGTGTGTGTGTGTGTGTGGCGTGCGTGCGTGTGTGTGCGCGTAATTTATCCAGCGATGATGATGATGAGGTGAGATGAGATGGCAGATACTTTGTACCGAGATTGGCGTGTTCGGGCGCATTGGGGCGCGGGGTTCGCGCAGCAAGCAGTTCATAATCGTCCCCAGTAGCAGTGTAATATATGTCGGCAGCGTTGGTACATGCCGACGTATATGACACTACCGACACCACCGACATCGATATAACCCGAAAAATCATGTTGTCGAAAAAAATGGTAAGATCGCATCGTACTCATATCAATCACGACAAATAGATAAAAGTGTTTAAGCTGCGTTGCACAGTGGCATCATTTAGTGCATTTGCACATGACGTCATAATTCTGACGACATTCGTCATTTCACTCCACTACATCTGTTGATATTTGGCAGCATTACAAACTTCCAGCACCTTAGCACAGTTAACCATATCATGAGCACCATACGCCTATGCCGCGTGCCACTTTGTTCTGCGAAGTTTACGCGGTGCAAAGATCCATCGCCCCGCCGTGAACAGCGACTAGCACACTCAGGAGGGTACGTATGCACCCTTGAAGCACCCAGCACCAGCCTTGAAGCGTCCGGACATCACCAGATTAGGCACCCAGTGGCATGACGACGACACTTGTAACCAATTGGGACGCGGACGCTCTGAACAGGACACACTTGTGCTCGCTAATGCGCTGGTAAAGGTCAAGGAGGTCCTGGTCGCCCAAGTTGTGTTCTGCCCCGCCAGCGGAACGGCGGTGGTAGGCTGGGTTATGGCCGCGCGCGGTGTCAAAGCTAGGCGCAAAGAGACATTTCGGTATCTCTTACTTCGTCAGGGATTTGGTCCCTAAACTCGTCACATGAATTTGGTTCGCGTGTGTATACCGCGGTTCTAATACGGACGTTGAGCATCTTCTCGCATTGATCCGCATCCAACTCCAGCCCCGACAGCTGAGAACGATTTTCGTGAACATACAAGAACGATCAACTTACAAGGCCGATAGCTCGTTAGCCAATACCTTGTGTCATTATTTCGGCCAGCTCTGTATTTCACTCGAGGTGGGTCCATCACGCCGTGGTGGGTCCATTATAGCCCAATAGCACTGAGCGGGAGCTTCAGAGTAGCGTGTGGTATGATCTGGCTAACGTCGTCAGCTGGCTGCAGCCCTGGAGAGTCAGCCTGACCCTTGGTCACGTTTAGTACTCTACGTTCCTATGTTACTCGTTAAATCACCCGCAGTCCGGTGCGATACGAAGACTGAAGGCAAATAGTCCGGTGCTCTGGAATGGCACAGCTTAGGTAAAGGGTTCAGGGTCATGCAACAGGCTCTGCAGCAGGCAAGTCCTCAAAGCTAAGGCAATGCAAGGTAATCGTCTTAAAGTGAGCTTCTAAAAAATGTCCAACTGCAGAATAGCGCGCTCATTATTGTTATGGCGAAGAGCCAACGTTTGCATTATGTATGAGGCATATTTCCGCGGAGGCAATGTACTCTTGACAGGGGGTCAGGCTGTAGTACGCCTGTAGTACTGCCTCGCTTGCTCGTCTAGTTGTACCTATAGTAATGGGATTATCGATTCAAATCTGGCACTCAGCGCTCAGCATCTAGCTGTTGATATTGAAGGACGCGAACAAGGCATCACCAGGGTTGCGAGAAGGCATTGAGGGTTATATACCATATAGATGCATATATATATATATATATATATATATATATATATATATATATATGTGTGTGTGTGTGTGTGTGTGTGTGTGTGTGTGTAATATTGAGGAAAATATTGAGGGCTGGTATGTGCAGGATTGTTAAGGGTCTCGTGTAGTAAATAACGTGATGCTGAAGGGCTGGAAGTTAGAATAAAAAATATTGGACTTTCAGTCGTCATCAGTTGAAAAAAGACCACTGAAGGGTGTGTGTAGATATTCCCGACTTACCTCCTCCTCCTATCACCCCCTCTATAAGCTCGGACATGTTTGGCCTTTTCCACCGTGCCTATTTTGAATCCAGCTTCCAGTTCAGCACTGACATAATCCTCTCAACTAGATGCTTAGCTGGAACCTGGCTTACAGCACTACAAAGAAAAATAGCTAATGCGAGCTATTGCCATTTCATTGAAGATCATGATGGTCCTCTCATCGACTCGTGACATTAGCCGTGCAGTTTCCCTCGTGACATTAGCCGCACAGCTTTTGCGCTACATCCGCTCCCAGCAGCCATCAGCTCTATGCTCTTATCATGGCATTCTCAATGGTCATGCTTGACGCAAAATGACCTCGATGCCGACGCGCCCTAAAGCACCAAATCACCACCACCACTACATCAATGGCCATGCGATATCACAGAGCGCTGCGTAAAAAAGTTTCACATTTAAATCGGCCCAGCTCCAACGTTTCGCGCGTCGCAACACGAAGTCCGCGCACATCCGCCGGCAGTGTAGCATCAGTTTAACTTCCTGGAGGCCGC